TACCGGACATGCAGAGAGTTGGTGTGACAGAAGAGGATGCTAGGTTTAGGACTTCTTTTATGCCTGAGAACGATAGTGCAACCTCTAATTAATTAATGGCTATTAAGTAAACATAATTAGGCTTTTCATACATAATGTTTCAGTAGAAAAAGTCAAAAGGTTCCAGGTTATTAAGAAAAACTTAACATAAAATTCCCCCCATTCTTTACTTATCCCAGCTGACTCAGCAATACAACAATGGCTGTATAAGTATACCATTCTCAATTGTTTCATCCACATTACTCGTTGAATGAACTACACAGCTACCTTCTGATTAGTAGGCAAAATGGAGCATCCAAGATTTGGGTTTATCCATTTAATGGTTGTTTTCATTGGTACCAACTGAAATATTTCTGTATAAGCACACATTTTTCTCAAGTTGAAAAAAGTAATCCCAGTATGCCACTTAGCTCAGATTGTTATCATATGGTGTTAACAGGGCATGAGTTCAATGCCCATACTAGGGTTTTTTTTTTTTAATGAAGTAATGTGTTTCATACCACCACCTTTTGAAACACAGAAAATGTTCATGTTGTATAACTGCATATCTTATTAATGCTAAATCATAGGTTCGGTCTCCATGTTGGCCGTCAATGCTTTCATTCACAGACAAATTCATTATCAGCTGAGAGTCAGCCACTACTCTTTCATTACTAACAGACACACAAAGAAACGTTTATTTATTTATTTTAACAAACACTTGCTGATCAGTCTTGACGTCACATGTTAACAAACCAGTGTGCAAGTGCCAAAGCAAATTGGAAAGAATAAGTGTTCAGAAACCAAGAGAAGCAAATGAAGTTTTTTGTTTTTTGTACTGTGAACACGAGATTCAAGATTACGCAAAAAAAATCTCTGTCTCTCTCGCTCTCTCTCTTGCTCTCTCTCACTATATGTATGTGCATATATATACATACATATGTATGTATGTATGTATGTATGTATGTATGTATCAAATATCTTTTTTCTTCTTCTTTCTTTTATCTTTTTGTTGTATTAAAAAATAATTAAATGAAGGAAACAGTAGATAATAAAAGTAATTGTTCATTTCACCTCCAATCTTTTACAGTTTTTTCTGATTGCTTAAGCACATTTTTTGTAACTATTGGCTAATTTTGCAAAACTCTTCACACAAATAAGAAAACCTGTCACCCAATAATCAAAACATTGTAGTTCTCTTGCAAAAGCAAACACAGCTAGATTAACTCTTCACACCTTCGTAAAAATGGTGTTTCCGTATCAAACAGTACACACAAGCCATCATCTACTAAGCACACAATGCGCCAACTGCACACTGATGGTATGAATACAAAACACATCTGGCTTTTGCTTTCTCTGTGCACAAGGTAGGCTATGTCAGTTTGAGCTCATACTTCTGTCATAGATCCATAAGCATAGAGGGATCCAAACTTCAAGTACTGGTGTTTATTCAAACACATCAAAACAAACACAAGTGTTTATTTCCAAGTATAGGATTATTTGCAATCGCCATAATGACTATATGGGTTACTTGGTCTGCAGTGAACATGCTTCCTCTGCCCCCAGCATCTGGTCATCTAGCAATTCTGTAAAGTAACAATTTCAGTATTTTTACATCAATGGTATTGGTGTGTTTCTCATTGGCATATGGCAGTGCTACAAATCTTTGTGCGAAGTGACTGTACTAACCGATTCTCATTTCAAGATGTCCTTATGGTACTTGCTACAGTGTAGCGGCTCGAGTTAGGCTGGACCCGTTGGCCAGCTACCCTCAGGGTCATTCCACGGTTGATTACATGGTCCACTATTGTAGCTCTGATGTCATCAGCAATTCTATTTCTTACTCTTCCTACCCTTCCTCTCCCCCCTCCTCATCTTCCTCTCCCCCCTCCTCGTCTTCCTCTTGCTCCTCCTTGTCCTTGTCGTCCTCTTCATCCTACTTCTTCACCTCCACGTCCTCTTCCTCGGCCTCCTCTACTTCTCACTCTTTCTGCTCCCTCCATTGTACTCCGCACACACAGCTTACCTGTATTATAGTGCTTAGGCTGATTGCAAAGTGAACTAATTATCTAAAAAAGTTTTCACATGTGAAAGTGTGCCAGACAGTTGGCAAATTAGTGTTAATGATAGCCATACATGTGTATACTTTTGCTAGGAGTGTGTTGGAAATTTGGTAATTGAGTGTTGTGCAGTGAATTGTGAGTTTTGCAAAATTAGCCAATAGTTACAAAAAATGTGCTTAAGCAATCAGAAAAAACTGTAAAAACATTTGTCACATGCTCAAGAGTATGTAAGGAGAGATTAATCAAAGCTTAACTTTCAGTTTTTTGCAGTAGAAGATGGTAGGAAATATTTGGATGTATTTAAGAGAATATTTATTTATTCAGTAGTATTAGTTTACATTGGCAGTTTGAGCTCCATAATTTTAACAGTTATAAATTACAGATAGAGCTGAAATGAACAATTACTTTTATTATCTACTGTTTCCTTCATTTAATTATTTTTTAATACAACAAAAAGATAAAAGAAAGAAGAAGAAAAAAGATATTTGATACATACATACATACATACATACATACATACATACATATGTATGTATATATATGCACATACATATAGTGAGAGAGAGCAAGAGAGAGAGCGAGAGAGACAGAGATTTTTTTTGCGTAATCTTGAATCTCGTGTTCACAGTACAAAAAACAAAAAACTTCATTTGCTTCTCTTGGTTTCTGAACACTTATTCTTTCCAATTTGCTTTGGCACTTACACACTGGTTTGTTAACATGTGACGTCAAGACTGATCAGCAAGTGTTTGTTAAAATAAATAAATAAACGTTTCTTTGTGTGTCTGTTAGTAATGAAAGAGTAGTGGCTGACTCTCAGCTGATAATGAATTTGTCTGTGAATGAAAGCATTGACGGCCAACATGGAGACCGAACCTATGATTTAGCATTAATAAGATATGCAGTTATACAACATGAACATTTTCTGTGTTTCAAAAGGTGGTGGTATGAAACACATTACTTCATTAAAAAAAAACAAACCCTAGTATGGGCATTGAACTCATGCCCTGTTAACACCATATGATAACAATCTGAGCTAAGTGGCATACTGGGATTACTTTTTTCAACTTGAGAAAAATGTGTGCTTATACAGAAATATTTCAGTTGGTACCAATGAAAACAACCATTAAATGGATAAACCCAAATCTTGGATGCTCCATTTTGCCTACTAATCAGAAGGTAGCTGTGTAGTTCATTCAACGAGTAATGTGGATGAAACAATTGAGAATGGTATACTTATACAGCCATTGTTGTATTGCTGAGTCAGCTGGGATAAGTAAAGAATGGGGGGAATTTTATGTTAAGTTTTTCTTAATAACCTGGAACCTTTTGACTTTTTCTACTGAAACATTATGTATGAAAAGCCTAATTATGTTTACTTAATAGCCATTAATTAATTAGAGGTTGCACTATCGTTCTCAGGCATAAAAGAAGTCCTAAACCTAGCATCCTCTTCTGTCACACCAACTCTCTGCATGTCCGGTATCCAGGAATGTACTCTGTGATCTTTGTCTTTTCCTCCTGCCTGGCAGCGCCATCTTCAATATCCTTTATCCCTCTATAGTTACTACAGTTCTGCATATTACACTTGCTGCAAATCAGTACCAGTACACTTCATCTCCTTTTCTCAGACATTCTCCCTCTCCAAGATTGTGTTCAACCACTTGGCCAAAAACTCCACTACCCTCTCTCCACAGGTATGTCATGTGTACACTCTTCATCCGCTTCATAGCTGTCCACATTTTCTCTTCTCTACACCTTTAATCCAAGAAGGGACATTAAAATGTGAGGAATAATAAATACAAAAAGTGTGAAAAGGCTTTTAAAATGTGTGGCTACAAGATCTTTCAAAGTATTGGCATATCTGCATTGACAAGATTTGGGCCTTTGATGTAGCCCTGGTGTTATAATACTGCTAAGTTACCAAATAATCACTGCCACTCATCTAAGCAGGAAAAAGTTGCCACACCTACACTGAAGATCAGATAGAAAGATGAGGAAAAGAGGGAACCGTAATGAGAGACAGGAACCAATGAAAACAAAAACAATATTGGTCTAAAGAACACAGACTACAGGCATTGGAAAACAGAAAGCTTCTGGCATCAAAAATCTGTTCTACTTCTTTCAGTTTCTCTACATTCATATGTAGAGAAACCACCAATTAGGCTTGGATTCATTAAAACATGTTGTGCAGCAGTGTTGCTCAAACTGAACTCTTTACCTTGCACTATTATAAACATTTGTGTGTTATATGAATATTTATTATTGTAGAGTCTTTACCTTACCTTACAAATAAACACATCTTGAGGAAACTTGATGTGATTTGGGGCTATATATTTTTTTACCCCCAGCATTTTCAAGCTCTTGTAATTACTTAATCCACATGAAATTTTCAAATCAGAAAAAATAAAAACTTTGTGGCACAATTTTTTGCTATAACAGCATGAATATCAGTTTTTATATCTATGATCCAGAGGAAAATAATTTTGCACCGTTACCTTGGAGGACCTCTTTCTGATAATTCACTAACAACCCCCCCCCCCCCCCCCCCACACACACACACACACACAAAAGTCAGTAAACTTAAGTAAAGGCTCATACCAACCATGTGGCAAAGTTCAAAATATGTTATAGCATGTGGAATGTCCCTCTTTTTTACCTACAGTTTGATTGCAGGTTCATTCTGTATAAATAAGCGGACTAGGAAAATATTCATATTATGTTGGTTATGTTTTGCATGGTTTACTTTAATATGCTAAAATTATTGTCCAAAAAAGTAAAAAAAAAAGAAAATCCTGAAGGTAAACAGCCAGGCAAGACTCCAGGAAATCAAGCTACAATCGTACTCATAGATCCTGCTAATTAACATTTACCCCCCCCCCCCCCCCACCCACACACACACACACACAAAAGCAGCAATACATTTTGAAATGACAGGAAGTAAATTTGAAATACTTTCAAAGTTAGGAATAAATCTACCTGTGATCACTAAATCTGTAGTCTGGCATTAAGCTGAATACTGGGTTTCAAATGTCTCAAGATCAGTCTGTTTCATGAGGCTATATTTGTTTCATACCTTTTATTATTGTTATTAGTAGCATTATTAATTATAAAGCCATAAATGTTGTGTATTAAGTCCTTAACATTTTTAAAGACAATAGGAAGAGCTTAGTATTACAGATAGCTATTTTGTGGGTCTCGCTTAGCATAAAGCATTTCTTTTCTGCATGTGTACATTGAGCTGAGAGAAAACACAGCATCAGCCAGGAGGGTTGGCAGAAATGGGAAGATGCTGAAGAAAAACATCTCCATGGTGGAGACCAGCAGGTATCTGTGTTTCGGCTGAGCAGATGTGACCGCGTGCAGCATTGCTGCGATGACCGGATCGGCGTCCTTGAATCCCACCCTACATGTTGACGTGAAGTAGTCATTGGCCAGATCAATGTACTCTCTGCCAAAGATTCGTTTTTTCTCATCATCCAGTTTGTTCCAGATGTCCAAAGCAGTTTTCCTCTTCAGGATGTTAGTGGCTTGGCCAAAATTACCTGGCTGAATGATGCTGACCTGAAAGGGAGTTTATGTTCAGTTAGTCCATTTACAGCGTTTTTGTGTGTATCTGTGTTTCTGTGTGTGTTTTAACTTAAACAACAAATCCATGACATTTATGAAAGGTTATTTGCGTTCCTGATGAAACTTGAGCTAGCTTAGCATAAAGACTCAACTAGGAGGAAAGAGTCTTCTATCAGGTATTTTTAAATCTTGATGGGTGTTCACATCAGTATCAATTACTCCAACTCATGGATTCCTGTAAACCCATAACTTGTTTTCTCACTTCTATTTTTGTTGGGTTAGACCAAAAAGAAGAAATGGATTAGGCAAACTTTAGATATACTCTAATCAATTTTCTATGATATATACTATGATGTCATGTTTGATCACAATAATCTCAAAATTAAGGACACAGAGCTAATATTTTTACATTTTTAAGTAAAGATTTAGGTTTCAAGAGAAACAATGTGGTTTTGAAAAATGGCAAAGCTTGCACAATGTTCAAGGTTTCTGCCCTGGACTCGTTCAAATGGTCACAACGTAACAGGTAAACACATGGTCACTTAGAGCTTCATGTCTGTTAATGAAATACACATTAACAGACAAAGTGTCTTGAGCCACCCCTCATTTGTTTATATTTTGTTTCCAAGAAGCCAAAATTTTCTGTATTTTTTTCAAAGTGGTCTTGATCAATAGCTTGCTGGACTTTCTAAAGGTCTTTCAAAGTTTTTTGGGGGGGCATTGGTTGCTATTTTAGTCATCTGTGGTCTATACGTAACAGGTAACTTAGTAAAGAACCAGGTTTAAATTGCATTTAGAGGCACTATGTTAATAGCTGCCCATTGCAAAAACACATTTAAGGACAAAAGGAGAAGTGGGAGGCCTTTAAAAATCCTACAGCAGATGAAAAGCATCTTAAGAAATAGGGAAAAAAAACCAAAAAAACCCCACCTAATCAGAAACGTTCTCAGTGGAAGGCTGGCTGTCAAGAAGCCATTCTTATTGAATGGAAAGAGGGAGAAAAGGCTGAAAGGCTGAGGTGTGAAAATTACACAAGAACTGGACTAAAAAGCTTTGACAACTGTTCTGATGGAGTGATGAATCCATATTTGACATTTTTGGTTCAAATGGCCATCATTTTTACAAAAGGTCAGGAGAGTGGTACAGCAGTGACTTTCTTGATGCATGCTCAATCATCCAGGTAAGCAAATCCCAAATAATTGATTCTGAAACCTGCAGTCAGCTGGGACTGAAGAAGTCACTTGGATAAGTGAAAAAATGTTTCTCACACTGAAAATGTTACGTCTAGATGAACAGAATCATTTTTTTTGGATACAACAGTGAGTGTCTACAGCCATCTGTAAAACACGGTGGGGGCTCTGTCATGGTTTGGGGCTGCATTTGAACCACTGGTGTAAATTAATAGAATTATGAAGAGAATCAAAGCAGCCAAATTGTTCTGTGTGTTATACAAGTGTGAGAACCAGATGTTTCTCTGAATCCTGTTCCTAAAAGCAAAATAAATAAGCATTGGAATGTCTTGGAAAATCCAATGAAAACATACCATGGTTTTTCATTAGAATGTGATGTCCCACAGCACTGGCAAAAACAACTCTGTACAGTGTAATTAAAATAAAAAAAAATTCAACTTTACTTACTCAATGAACCGTATTCATAGAAAGACTTCGTTCCCATTCCCCTCACAGGCATAACATTTTATGTACCACAGAATTACTAAATTTTCTACTTCATGCTTTACAGTGTCATGGGATGTTTTTGTGTATCTTTTCACCCATTCGGTACCTTCACGCCAAAACTAGCCATTTCCACTCTTAAGCAGTCAGCAAATGCCTCCAGTCCTCTCTTTGACACACTGTATGCTCCCATGTTCAAGCAGTAGAAGAAGGAAAAGATACTTGACACAAAAACCATCCGACCTGAAAACATTACACAAGCCTTTATTATCCATAACGCCACTACAGTATAAATGTGAGGACAGTAATGTAGCTACACATGGAACTCACCTTTGCTGGCACGAACCAGCGGTAGGAAAGCGATAGATGTCCTAATGGATCCAAACAGGTTAACATCCACCATGTTTTGGAAATCTTCAATAGTGCTCCATTCGATCTCGGCCCAGTCTGAGATCCCAGCATTGTTCACAACTGCCCACAGACCTGACAAACAATAAAATCCCACTGACCCTACTTTTTTCTTTAGAGAAATGTAGTTTTAAATGTGAAATAAAAAACATGCAACATGTCATGGATAGACCAAATAGACTAGAAAGTAATTTTTTTCCCACACTATTTGTCAAATTTGTAAAAGTTTTATTTCTTGCAAAAACAGAAACTGAACTGGCCTTTGGAAAGTTGACCTCACAAGCTAAAAAAATTAAAAGACTGGATTTACTGTGGATTCAAGACTTTTCATTATTCACCTTTGCCTTTTAATCTGTAACTATCATTGAGATTTTATCCTTACATATTTAAATACAAACAAGTCAAGAGATAAAGATAAAGAGATAAAGAAAAGTCAAAAGTTTGTCTTTTCTATAAGCAATATAAATAAGCAAACAATAAAATACAATTTTCTCCTTTTTGCCATGGCTAATCTTTAATACATTTTTTCCACTGAGCTAAACTCCTACCTTTCTCTGGCAGGTTCTCCTGCACCATTTTCTTTGCCTGCTGCAAGTCTTCATCCCTTGTGACATCCAACTTGAGGATTTTTAGATTACTGGAGCTCTGTCTGACCAGGCTCTGGGCTCCAGCTCCTCCTGGAGACAAACACCCAGCAAAGACCACAAACCCCTTTTGGTCCAAACAGCGTGCCAGGTGGTGCCCGAAGCCACTGTCACAGCCTGTTATCAGCACAGCATGGCCACAGCTGTCCAACACATGGTTGGAGCGGTAGATGGAAATAAGCTTGGAATAGATGAAGAGGAGGATGGCAGTGATGGGGATGATGCTGACCATTTCGATGAGGAAGAAAATGGTGATCATGCTGCTGAAGTTTCAATGAACTACTGTGCTAGATGATTATCTGTATAGATGCACGGTTGATGAGGTTCAGAGGATAGACTGGCCACCTTCCTTGGCATGTGTAGAATATATAAATAGCTTCACCAGAAAGAAAGAAAACAGAAACAAGATTCAAAACAAGTGAAAATAGACGAAATCTTTTCTTCTAATAGAGAAAACGTTTCTTCTTGAAACATTAAAAAAGGCCACAAAATAAAGATTAACTCTTACCAGAAGTGTCATCTCATGTTCTGGTGAAAGGGAGTGCAGTCTTTAAATAACAAGTCATCAGGTGAACTCTGCCAGGACGACAAAGTCAGATCAGAGTTTTTTGGTTTTTTTTTTACAAAATGCCTCCGGCTGCTTTCATTTGAGACATATCTTTGTAAGACATCATATGTGTACTGGAACCTTCACACAATTATGTGGGGATAGCTTTTGTGGCTTTACCAAGAACTAAAGATTACAAAAAAGTACAGGAAGTAAAGATTATACAAAAGGGTATTATACAGGGGCACTGCAAACAGCCAAAGTGTTTGTTGCCTCAGTTCAACAAGTCAGTAGTTGTTTCATCAGGAGCAGACATTAAAAAGGAAACAAATAATCTTGTCGACACAGCCAACAAATAATCGAAACAACTGGCTATAGGCAGACTTGTAGAGCTATAGAGCTTTAAGGCATCAGTAGTCAGTCTGTCCCTCTCTTTTTTTTTTTTCTTGCCTGTGCCGTTCGTTTCTTTTGCCATCAGAATTATTGTCTAAAGGCGAAGAAAGATGCACAACGGATTTACTTTACTAAATGGACCATCCCAGCCTTGCCGTAATGGTCTATTTGATTCACCTTTTATTGTTTATTTTATTTTTTATTTTCACTTGCTAGATACGGGACAGACTGAGGGAAAGGCAGGGGAGAAAGAAAGAGGGAAAGGAAAAACAGCGGAGAAGAGGGACGGGGATAAAGGGCAAAAAACAAAAACCAACAAAATAAGCAGACAAAAAATACATATATCAATCACCTGGATCACCTGTTGAGAAAGAAAAAAGAAAACAAGCGGAAGAAAAAGAGAGCAATAGAATAAACAACATCATGATGATATATGGGAATATGACAGTAAATACTAAATATTAAACATTATTGTGAAGCACGTAAGCCACAGCCACAGCCCCGTCCTCCAGGGCATGAAGCAGGTATGGAAGCGATCAAAACTCCAGACATCCAGAGGCCCTCAGAGCACAAGAGACCAAGGAAGACCAACAGAGGGGCAGCCGCGCCACTATCCCAGAAAGAGCCGAGGAGAGTCCCAGATGAGGGGTCACTCAGCAGCCGTGGAGCAGAAGCCAGGAGGGGGGTTGCGGTGACGTGCCCGTGAGCTCCGCCGGCAGCCAGCTGTGCCAGAGTGACTGAGGCTGGGGGCACCCCACCCCCGAAGTGGCCCGAGCGAGCCCCAGGCCCGAATAAGCAGCCACCAAGGAGTGAGCCGGTGTGTGCCTGTCCCATCCCCGGACACAAAGAACCACCAATGCACCAATGTCTGAGGGCGTCTGCCACTGGAAGGGGAAGTGGTGGGGGGAGATAGGCCTCCATACCTTGGAGGGCCTGAGATGTCCCTAGAGAGGTGACATCTGATACCCGACCTGACATATAGACACAAACAAGCAGGCACACACAGATACAAACATCCATTCCCACCCTCATGCTCTCATATGCACTTACTCCACACTCACCCAACGTGGAGACAGACATAGAGAGACACTGTACACACAATCACACTCCCCAGGCGTATTCTAAGCGCCTAGGTACCCTTGCCCCTGGAGGGGGAAACTGCACCCAGACCCGGGTGGTGTTACCCTTTTCCCTGGGGTGGGGAGAAGCAGACCGCCCTGACTCCGCAGCAGCAGGGAGGCCCCACATTCCAGACCCCTGTCGGATGGCCAACTGCTCCTCCTAGCCCTCCTGCTCCAGCAGGCCGCAGAGAACGGGGGTGTGTGAAGACTCCAAACCTCCCTCCACCCGCTCATTGTAGTGTTGATGCATGTGTGTTCTAAGGTGCATATAAACCCAGGAGGGCATGGAGCTACCTGCCAGAGAGCAGCAGGTAAGCGCATAGCCCCTCCTGATAGCCCTCAATGTCTACATGTATTTAAAATTGAGAGGTGGGCAACGACACCAGGGGTGAGGTTGTACACCCTGATGGTCTTTTGGATTCCGTGTATCGTGCTCACCCCCAAGATCCTATATGTATGTGTAATGAGAGTGTGAGTAATGTGAATGTCTAAGTTGTGGGATAAAATTGTGGCAGAGGCAACCAGACGGGGACAGGGGGGGGATGCCTCCCCTGCACCCTGGTGACACACCCTTACCCCAAGGCCCTACATGTGTGGGTGATTGTGGTGGAGCGGGAAGAGGGAGGCAGCTGAAGATGGGGAGGGAAGGAAGGGAGGGGCAAGTGACCCCTCCCTGGATCCAGTTCCCCCGCTGACCCCAGTAGGCACCCCCATACTCCGCAACCCGCCAGGGAAAGGGGGTCCTGGCCCATCCGGGCCGGGGGCCAGTACAGCAGCGCCGCCTGACCCCGCAGAGCCCGGGACAGCCCACCCGACCCCACCACCCACCCCGTCATCCACTCATCTTCCAGAGTACACAAGACAATAGACGCCCAGGCTGAGATCTTCCTCCACCTCTCCTGTATCTCCCCCTCCTGCAGAGAGTTCCTGAAGAGAGGAGACCTCCTGCAAGATGTAACAATCTTCCCCACCATTTGAAGAGCCCCCCAGGTGGCTTGATGCACTGGCGGCACCCTGCGCCAGGGCTGGGCCCCCAAACACCCACCCGCCCACAACCCCCCCGAGGCCCAGCCAGGGCCCCAGCCCAGAGACGGAGCGCCCCCAGAACTTCACGCCCGTCCCGGACCCACCCAGGGGCAGCCAGGCTACCAGGTCAGTAACCCACGTCCGTCAGCACAGACCCTCCCTTAGCCCCGCTGCATGCAGCCACGAGGAAACAGTCACCTAAGAGCCAACAGAACCCTTAATAGGCCGTGACCACTACCCCAGGTTCAGCCCTCCAAGGAAGATGCTCCTGGGGAACACCCCGACGCCCCAAGCCTGTCCCTACCCCCACACCAATCACAACAGCGAAGAAAGAACCAAACTATGACCCCCCACCCCCACTAGGTGATGGAGCTGATCAAAGGAGCCCAGAGCAATTGATCTGATGTGGTGGCAGAGGCTGTATCAAGACTAATGTAATCTAATAGATAGTTTATATTGGTTAGAATTAAGATTATCTTTATTTTTCCTTATGCTATGCATAAGGCAGTGAAACCATATGGGCGATATTCTTTTCTGAAGTGACATTATCTAAGCTGCCAACAAACACACTAAAGGGGAAGTTGGAATGTTACATTTCAGACACTTCGATAAGTCTTCACATATCTCGCGCCAAAACTTCTGAACTGGTGGACAGAACCAAAGAGCGTGGATATAATTGTCCGGTGAATTGGTTTGGCAGTGTGAGCAGTTGTTGGTAGACGTAAAGCCCATCTTGAACATCCGATGACCTGTATAGTGCACTCTATGTAATATTTTGTATTGAATTAATTGAAGACTGGGATTTCTAATTAGATGAAAGGTTTTTAAGCAAATCTGAGACCAGAAGTTTAGGTCTAAGTTAACTGATAAATCCGCTTCCCATTTTGCAATAGGAAGTGATATTGATTCATCTGTTTTAGAAAGCATTCTGTATATTTTGGATAGTAATTTGGGGGTTTTAAGAGTAAGAAATTGAACCACACTTGGTGGTGTTTGTAGTTCAACTTGACCCGGTTTAAATTTCTTTTTTACTATGGATTTAATTTGTTGATATTCTAAAAATCTTTTCTTGTTGATCCCATATTGTGTAACTAGTCTGTCAAATGAAATAAATTCTGTTCCTTCTAGTATATGTTCTAAATATTTGATTCCTTTACCACTCCAATCTGAAAAGTTTATCATATTATTGTTTTGTAATATGTCAGGGTTGTTCCAGATAGGTGTACGTTTGCATGGGATTAATGAAGACGCCGTCAATTTTAGAAACTCCCACCATGCTGTCAGAGAAGAGCTGATGTTGATGCTTTTAAAGCATTCATGTCGTTGGATGTTTGAGCTGATAAATGGTAGGTCTGAAATCTCTAGATTATTGCAAAGTGCTTGTTCTACATCTAGCCAAGGTTCATCTAAGAGGGTATGTTTTAGCCATCCTGAGATAAACTGAAGCCTGTTGGCTAAGAAGTAGTGCTGAAAGTTAGGCAGTTCTAGTCCTCCTTTATCCTTGGTCTTTTGTAGTGTTTTTAAGCTTATACGTGGGGGTTTATTTTTCCAAAGGAATTTGGACATATATGAATCTAGAGATCTGAACCAATCTTGTGGCGGTTTAGTTGGGATCATTGAGAATAAATAATTTATTTTTGGTAAGACCATCATTTTTATAGCGGCAACCCTTCCCATGAGTGATATGGGTAGACATTTCCATCTAGCCAGATCACCTTCTACCTTCTTTAAAAGTGGGATATGGTTTAATTTAGTTAGATCTGCAAGCTTGGGAGAAACATTAATACCTAAATATTTTATATTTCCTGATTGCAGTGGTGTAGAAGAGAATTATGGAAGGAGCAATTAATCGGAAGGACTGTAGATTTTGACCAGTTAATTGAGTAATCTGATATTCTTGCAAAAGAGTTTATCAATTCAATCACCCCAGAGATATTGGTTTGTGAGTTTTGGAGAAAAAGTAACACATCATCCACATAAAGCAGGGGTGTCAAACTCAAATACACAGTGGGCCAAAATTCAAAATGGAACACCCTGCACCCTGGTGCATTATAATAATTATAATATTTTAAAAAATGAATAATTTCCGTGGGGAAACGCAGAAGGTGCAATCTCGCTGTTTTCTTGTGCATCTCTTACTGAACAATCGCGTAACATTAATATTTATTGAAAAAAAAAATCTTCCTCCAGATATAAAATGAATCTTTTCTTATGGACTCAAACAAGTTTATGCTGAAAAACTGAATATGGAACAAGCAAAGCTTAATACTAAACAATATATATATTAGCTGTATAATACCAGTAGGCCAGCTCTAATAGTAATTTGGTATGGCTTCGCGGGCCAAATGTAATTAGGCTGGCCGAGTTGACACTATTAATGTATCGGTCCGGGCATGTTAGCGGGGCCAAATGCACGGCGGTTTGATAACTATGGCATAAAGGCTGATATTATGTTCCACGTTCTTGCATTTTGCAGTGTCACTTAATTGCAAACAGTGAAGGGGAGAGTGGGCATCCCTGCCTGGTGCCCCTCAGAGACAGAAGCTGGAGGATGTTTGGTCATTTGTTTTGACACAAGCTGTTGGGGGAATTGTATAATATTTTTAACCAGTTAATGAAAGAGGTTCCAAAACCAAATTTGTGTAAAGTTGCAAATAGAAATTTCCAGTTAACTCTGTCAAATGCTTTTGTCTGCCTTCCTACCGTTCAGTTTCATGTGCATTTCCATTGTTGTCGACAGGATCCAGGTCATATCAGTTTCGGTGTTTTGTTTTTATTTTAGTGTGGCCCTGTTTATTTTAGTAAGAGTGTTAGAGGAGAGGAGGAAAAAACAGTGACAAATTCACATGTGCAGCCTGTCCGGCAGGAGGGAATAC